AAGTGGAGAGAGCACATTTTAGCTGAATTAGGCTGAAAAAAGTTTAAATGAGTGCAAAAAATGTGGATTTAGCTGAAAAAGCTAAAATTAGCAGAAAAACAGCTAAATAGAAGCTGAAATATCAGAAAAAGCTGACAAGTACAGACATTAGCTGAAAGAAGCATAACAAGCTGAAATTAGTAGAAAGAAGTTAGAAGCACAAAAATGTTGTAGTCAGTAGAAATAATCTGAAAGAAGCACAAAACAGCTGAACGAACAGCTGAAATGAGCTGAAAGTAGCTGAAAATAGCTATTGAATGAATGAAATGTATGTAATGAAACTGAAACGAGTGTGTTCAGCTACTGGGACTAACTGAGGGTGTAAAGGGCTTCAGAGGTCTGTTGATGTGGATCCAGACCATGCCGACAGATTACAGAAGTCTGGATCCTTGGAATAGAAACCTAAAGAAAGGGGGACCAGAACTTTTGGAAAAACAGATTTTGGAGGTCCCAGAAGTTTTAGAGATCGAGCTTGTTATAGTTTCTGTAAATGTTTGTGATGTGCGACACGGGAAGACGAGTTTTATTTAACGTGGTGTCATTAATTTGACGCCTGTCCTGTGAGCAGAAAACCACCATGGCGGCCCTCAGAGAGCAGGAGGAGCCCCAGCTGAAGCTTCTGACTCCAAACGTCTGCAGCTCCGGCCCACCGTGACAACAAGGACCAGGTGAGCTCCGACTTCTCCCAGACTGACGAGTCCTGAATAACGTGACACGACTGCTGCAGCGTCAGGGTGTCTGTTTTCACATCTCCATTTATAGTCTGCCATGTTGTTTAGCTTACAATGCATGATGGGTAATGCTAAGGTCAGCTGGTCGGAACAACCTCAGATCTCAAGAGAACCCTTCTGTTCCTATTTTTAGCTTGAACTTGAACACAGCATAAAAAAGAGAACCTGTTTATTTTTAGCTCCGCCCCCTTCCAACACCAGCTGGAGGTAAACTGTAAAATCTGAATTAAAATAATTTTTAACTTGAAACTGGAACCTTCACAGGTTTTTCTACAGATTCTGTTGTGAGTCTGTTTCATTTGAAGCTGCACAACTTCCTGTAAGACCTGACGGCTTGTTGTTTGTTGCAGGCAGCAGGAAACGTTCCAGATGAACCGTGATGCTCTCCAACTGAAGCTGCGACAGGACACCGCCGTGCCCCCCCACCTGAGCCCCACCTGAGCCCCACCTGAGCCCCACCTGAGCCTCACCTGAGCCTCACCTGAGCCTCACCTGAGCATTTTATTGTTGTCTTTTAACAACATGAAGGACTCTTGTCGTCTCCCAGATTTGTCTTAAACGATGACAACAAACTGTTTGTGTCAGACAACATCGTCTTCTTTTCATCTTCTGCATAAAAAAAGCATTTTTGTGATTTTACCTTATTTTTCTAACACATACCCAGAAAGAGATCAAGTTTTTTTGTGTTTGTAGCAGCTTGGACCAAAGGCTCTGATGAAAACGTTTGGTTTTATTCTAAACTTTGGTCCATTTAAAGCAACAAACGCACCAGCAGCCTCACGACAACCAGACGTAAGAGTTTCACACCAACAACTACGATCCTGAACCAGCCCAGGACCTCGGTCTGAGAGACTTCATCCACACTGGTGCAGAACAGACTCAACCTGGGAGGAGCTAGGGACCAGACGGGAGGAAACACACCAGCAACGAGCTCCAATTACAATAAAACTGAATAAATAAAACTTCTTTAATAATAACTAGAGGAATTGTATTTGTATTGTGAAGGCTTTTTACACAAGAACTTACTGAAAAACAGCTGAAATGGAAGAAAAAGCCTAAATTAGGAGAAGAAAGTGCAACAAACACATTTGCTGAATTAAGTTTAAAGAAGCAGAAATGAGCACAAAAATTTGGAAACTGGCTAAAAAATAGCTAAGATTAGTAAAACGTAGCTGAAAAGTCTAAAGCTTAAACATCCAGAAGGAAGTGGAAAGAGCTGAAATGAGCTCAAACTATGTGGAATTAGCAGAAAAAGCTACAATTAGCATAAAAAATGTTAAATAGTAGCTGAAAAGGCAGAAACTTGCAGAAATAAGCTGAAATGAGCTCAAATATGTGGAATTGGATAAACTACTATTGGATACAGAAAAAGTTAAAATTAGCATAAACTTAAAATTAGCAGCACGACTCATGTTCGTGCTGCTGTTTAGTGTATTGTTTTGCACTATTAGTGTTTAAAATATTTCTTAGTTTATATCTTAGATTCTTTACTTTTTCTTTTTACACTTTATACTTTTGCAATTGTTGGATGTAATTGAGACCATGTGTACACAATTTCCTTCCACTTCATGTACCACATGTGATGAAATGACAAAAAAAGCTACTTGAACTTGAAAACTTAAATAGTAGCTGAAAAAGCTGAAACTTGCAGAAATCAGCTGAAAGGAGCAGAACAAGCTGAAATGAGCAGAGAGAACTTAGAAGAAGCACAAAAATGTTGAAGTTACCAGAAAGAATTTGACCGGAGCACAAAACAGCTGAACGTAGCTGAAAATAGCTGAAAAACATTTAAATTTGCAGAAAGAAGCTGAAGAAGAACAAAATGTGAAAGGAGCAGTAAAAGTTTGTAAACAGATCTAAAGATTTGAAGGATGTAAAATGAGATCAATTCATTTTCTATGAGAGAAAAATGGCAGAAAAGGCTAAACATTTCAAAAAGCTCAAATTGCACCAAAACCAAAAGTCACGGCACACTTTTCCTAAATGAGCTGAACGTTTTGATACCTAAATTGCTGAAATAGCTTAAAAATTGCATGACAAGAATTGTGCCTGAAAACATACAGAATAGGGATATTAACAGCCAGTAATAATAATAATAAAATTTAAAAAACTGAGAAAATCACTGTAATGTCACTTGATTGTTGAAATGTGCTGCTGACTATCCATGCTGCTGATCTCATGCTGCTGATTATTTCATGTTGCTGTGTTTATTGGTCCTCATCTGCGCACACAGACTCATGTTCGTGCTGCTGTTGTTTTGGCGCATTGTTTTTGTACCACTAAATGGTAAATGGACTGCACTTATACAGCTCCTTTCTATCTTACTGAGATACTCAGAGCTCTTTACAACAATCTGTGCCTCATGTATCCATTCACACAGCTCTATACTAGATCTCTACAAAGATAATTGAACAAATCATTCTACAGAGACTAATCAGAGCTTTATCACATTCATTCACTGATGGGACACACATCAGAGTCAACGAGGGGTTCAGTGTTTTGCCCAGGGACACTTCGGCATGTGACTGCTGTGGGGTTGGAACCCCCAACTCTTGTATTGGAGGACGACTGCTCTAACCACTCAGCCACAGCCGCCCCACTAGTGTTTAGTGTATTCTTAGTTTAGTGAATGTAGTAAATAGTTCATGACTCAGATCTTATTAATGTTTTTCTTTACAATTTGTATTTTTGATAGATGTAACTGGGCCCCTGTGTACATCGTTCCACCTCATGTACCACGTGTGATGTGAATAACAATAAAAATCCTTGTATCCTTGTAAAATAAACAGGATCACAATAGTGTGACTGCTTCATAACATTCACACAATAAAATAATAATTTGAAAGAAGACCGTGACGGTTTCTTGGACCAGTTTGAGGAGCACCAGCAGACCTGAGAGGACTGAGGAGTTGTGGAATTGTGCCACTCAAAGTGTTGGAGCAGCTCTGTTACTTTCATTCTGACTTATTGCTTTTGAAAACTTTATTTCCTCTTTTTTCTGGATGTAAATCGCTTTTTTCGGATGATTATTTACTCTGGTATCGGATGCTGTGCAGCTGGAAGGATTTTTACTGAATCCGTTTTACTTTTGGGCATTTGTTATGATGCGTAACCATGGCAACAATGTGTTTTTTAACAACCAGGAGCAGATAATTAACATCTCAAAAGCTCAAATACCTCAGCTACAACCCCAAATCCCAAATGAGTTGAAAAGGAGGCACCGTGGATGAATTCCCGTCAACCTGGCAGCGGCACTCGAGTATCTGACCCCCGTGATCATGGAGCTGTTGGGAAACGCAGCTCGTGAAACGAGAGGACCGGGATCACACCCCGGCACCTTCAGCTGTCTGTCCGCGGCGACGAGGAGCTTTCGGAAAGTCCTGCTGCCCAGGAGGACCGAGAGGCCCGTTGGATCTGACAGCAAGCTGGATCCAGGTGGACAGATCGGTACCTGTGGCCAGATTATTCAGATTCGTTGCAGGAGATCCTTCCTGCCCACAGCATCTTTAACAAAAACCAGGATGATGAGATACGACAACACTTAATTTCCCTTTGGGATTAATAAAGTACCTCTGAATTGAGTCCGGACACGTTTCTGTTGGTCAGGCCTGAAGACAAATCCAAGCTGTTGGAGACATTCTGGAAATTTAACCTTTTAAAACATCCAAACCACACGAAGACTCTGACTTTGTTTTAAAGGTTTAAATAACAATAATTATAAATTAATCAAGACCTGTGTAACAAACCCAAACGAATGGTTTGTTTTTAAAATCAAATATTGTACAATTTATGGGTACATTTTAAAACTGCTCAACTTATTCAAAGCTAGAAATAATCTATTGCTGTTAAGTATTGATGTGGTAGTAGCCGAGAGTCATGCCCAACACACACTTTGAGCTCTAACTGGTTGCACGAGATTTGCTTTTAAAACTTTCACTTTAACACCAGCACACACACACACGCACGCACACACAGGCACAAACAAAATCACCTATTGGGTAATGATGATAAAACTTTCCTGAAGCCTGAAGAACTGATCAGGACCACTTGAAGAGATTTTGCTTGGAAACAAAATATGAAAACCTATCAAGACTTTTGCACGGCACTGTGTCCATCATTAGGAGTTAGTCTTTATTTACTACTGTGTTATGATGTAACTGTTAGTTTTACTCCAGTTGTTCTTTCAGGGTTCACATGTTTAGACGCTCGCTGACCTTCTGCTCTCGCGCATGCGCTGTACGGTCCTATGTGCAGTGCAGTTCAACAGAGGCTCCAGAGGTAAACAATCTGTTATATCACCTAGTTACAGGTTTATTATTTACCTTTCTGTAGAGCCGACCGTTTAATGGAGGTCGCTCTTTTCAGAAAGGCTCACTCAGCAGCAGGAAACGGGTTCGCTTTAGCAGCTTTCATTGACACTTTTAGACTGAGCTAGCTCAGTTAGCACAGTTAGCTTGTGCATTCACAGTCAATGGAGAATAAGCTCCGCTCAACTGCACGAGCTAAATGAGAAGTTTCGCACATTAAACTTCAGTTGGAAGGGGAGTTTGTCTTTGTGCAACTGTGAACAAGTGTTGCTTTCGAACTGTGTCGATGTTTTTATGTGGATTAAAGCCGAAACCGTCCAACAAAACGAAGGTAGCATTAGCAAGTTAGCCGCTGTCAAATATCCGAGTGGCGGGGCTTGTTGTGGATTGACAGGTCCGTGGACCAATCAGCTCTTCTCAAACTGACTGATAAGATGAGAGAAAAACTGGCGCGGAGTAGGTAATGTTTTCGGTTTAATGTCAAATAATTTATATACGCACATGTTCTATTTTAGTCAGTGTGTGAAAATCAAGAAGTAACGAGGTGAAAAAGTTTAGCAGGAACCTAAAATAACCCGGGTCAGATGTGGGCGGAGTCAAACTGCTCCATCTACTGGACAAATACGAGAACTACAAGAACCAACCAACCGGAAGCTGCAATTATGATGACGTCAGATCAACCTAATTAATAAACATGTCTTTTTTTTAAATGTCTGCATTGTACTCTGCAGTAAATACTGTTGTTTGTTTTTCAGATAATTAATGTTGTTAACTTTTTATGTCTATGAATACTGTTCAGTGCCCTGAGATGACTTCTGTTGTGACTTGGCGCTATAATTGAATTGAATTTCTAATGGTAATAATAAATGATTTAATAACAAAACGTTGCATTTTTTTCTCTGACAGATGAAAACTCCGCCTGACAGGTTGGGGCTTACCTTTGAGGTCGGAGGTCAGCTGGAAGCCCGAGATCGACAGAAGAACTGGTCGGCACCAAACTGATACAAAGGATTTCCTCATGTTTGATCTTTAAATGTTTTCTTTTGTTTCTCTAAAAGCTTCTGCAGACATTAAACTCCATCATGAAGCAAGACCATAGAATAATTGTTTTAGTCAAATTGTTGTTTTCAGTTTGACAGCCTGTTTCGCCTGAAAAGTCTGTTGTTGTTTTTAAACGTCCTAAATCTTAATCAGGACGGTTCTTCATTCAGCAGAGTTTTTTATGAGGGAGTCTGGATTAGATATAATACTGGTTCTGTGGACACCAGCTGGTCTCAGACAGACAGATGGACAGAGGACGGGTTCTGTAGACCCAGTAGACGACGAGTGGACTAACACCTCTAACCTGACATGCTTGTTGCCTTCTCAGGTACCCGGCAACCATTGAGAAGATCGACTACGACAAAGAGCGGGTTCTGGTCCACTACCGCCGGTGGAGCCGGCGCCACGACGAATGGTTCCACTGGAACTCTCCGTCCATGCGTCCCCTGGAGCGGGTCAGTCTGAGGAAGCAGGGCCGGACCCCCCAACAGTCTCCCTCGGTACATCCTCTACCTCATCTTGTTGTAGCTGTTTTCAGAGCTGGCCTCAGCTGACCTCTGACCCCTGACCTCTGGTACTGTTCTGTTGTTTTTGTCGGTTGAACTTGAGTTTTCTTCCTGTTTTGTCTCAGACGTTCGTTTCAGGTAAGAAGGTTCTGGCCTGTTGGACCGACTGTCGCTTCTACCCGGCGAAAATCCTCAAGGTCAACAAGGACGGTGAGACTGGACCCTCCTCTGTTTTCCTCCCGGTTCTTCCGGGCAGAACATCCGAGCTCAGTCCAAGCACGAATTAAGTTGATCAGACGCAGAACTTGATCCAGTTCTTCTCTGGTTCTGTTCGATTTGCTCTGAATGAAATCTAAAAGTGTGGAACGTATTTTAACCTCAGAACCGGAGTGGGTTTATGTAACAGAGCCCGATCGAATTGCAACAGAACCTTTGTTGTGTTTTTGTCTCAGATTCTTACACGGTGCGGTTCTACGACGGCGTGGTCCGGACCGTGAAGCCCACCAAGATCAAACCCTTCCTGAAAGTAAGAAACTGCTCTTTCATTGGTGGGTTCCACCCGACCAGAACCTGGGATTAAAACGAGTTTCTGTTCTGTTAGAAGTCCAAATCTGACAAAAGTGCTGTGGGGAGTGAAGGATGGGAGGAGGGGGAGAGTGAGGAAGAGGAGGAGGAGATCAGTGAGGGAGGAGAGGAAGAGGAGGGGGAGAAGAAGGGAGAAGAGGAAAAGGTGATGTCAGAGGAGAGGGATGGAGCTGAGGAGGAGAGGAAGAGGAAGGCGGAGCCTTCATCTTTCCAACCACCAACAAAGAAGAAAACAGATAACAGTAAATCTCATGACCTTTGACCCCTGCAGTTTGTCATGTTCTCGTGTTTTACACTAAGTGTTTCTCTGTCAGGCAGCGACGAGGGAGCTCAGGATCAACCAACCACAGCTGACTCCGCCTCTTCTGCTGTTCCTAACCCCGCCCACGTGGACCCAGGTAAACCGTCTCCATGCAACGTGAAAAACTTTGAACTCATCGTCACGTCATCGTTTCAAGCTCGGAGGATGTTTCTGTGTAGAACAGGAACAGAATATGAACAAAGCTGCTGCTGGTCGTAAACTGAGGCTCCGCGAGGACGTGAGCGGCGTCTGGAAACATCAACGTTTTTACCGTAACTGTGAGAAAGTCACACTTACACGGTAAAGCTGCGCCCGTTGAGACGGCTGTAGCCAGATCACCAGCTGGCAGCAACGTTTCAGTGTCGGGCGCGAGGACGGTCACGTCCACAACGGTAAAAACACGAACGCTCGTTTGGAGCGAATGTGAGGTGCGGTCGCTCCTCCATGTTGGAAGGAGAGAGCAGCACAAACAGCACTCGCCTCCCACCGATGCCGCTGCCGTTGAGCTGCTCTCAGAGCAACGCTGTTGACTGCAGCGCACGTAGAGCGCACGTGTGATGTCACACCGATGTTGGGCATTTCCAAATACCTCCACTCTGAGACCTGGACTCAAAAAGCTTTGCTTCCAGAGAAAACGCTCGCCGTTGTCGTGTTGACGAACGTCCGAAACGCAGCAGAAACATCACGGCTTCGCCTGAAAGCAGCGTTGTGTAAACGGCGTCATGCAGGAGATAAAACACCGAATCATCAAAGAACAACGTAAATGATAAATATGCCTCGTCAAAATAAAATATTAAAACTATTAAAAGTGATATTGTTACTGGAAGTCTAAACTTAAGAAGTAATTCTGTTATTGGGGACTTATTATCCTCATGACTTAGGGTTTCTTAACTTTATTTATATTTTAGTTTTCCTTCAGCTTTAACTAAACCGTGCTCTAAATGTTACATCGAAACGACCGGCTCGGCACCGTGATGCGTGCGGTTACTTTTAATGGCATTTCGAGTTACCGTGGCGATGTAATTTGTTAAAAAAAAAAGAAGCCATTTTTCTCATTCAGAATGCCTGAAGGAACTCTTCACTGCCGCTGCCACAGTGAGGTCACATGACCTAGAGGGGAGATGTCTCTGAACAAAACGCTGAATCATTTTTGGAGCCATTTTGGTTCAAAATGGCTGCCACAGTTACCTCAGGAAACTCAAAATTGAATATAAGTCAGCCATACTTTGAGATTTAGAGCTGAGATTTGGTTTGGTCGTAGCTGAGAACGTTCCCCATCACATACACGTCAAAAATCCAAAATGGCCACCATAGCTTACAAGACAAAAAATACCTTTTTTTTTAGTTTTTGCCATATTGAGCAGAAATTTAATTTGTTGGTAGTTGAGAGCAAACCCCACATGATCCTTCAAATATATTTTTTAAATGGCCGCCACGTGACTGTCCTCGTCAAAGTTTCTCCAGGGACTTTCTAGTTAGTAAAATATTATAATTGTTTTGATTCCAGTGTTTTTAATTCATAAATATTGACTCGTTAGAATCTGTTGTGTGTTTTTGTTGAGGTTAGGTTTGAATAAAAACCAGATGAGTTTGAGTACGTCCAGATACCTCCGTCCATGAAACACCAGTGAGTTGGTGTCGGACGTGCCGTAAAAACATTAAAATGATCAAGTCTGGTGAATAATTTAAATAAATTTTGGACCGAATTACCGGTCGTGTTTCCTTCTACTCTGAGCCTTTAGCTCTCCGTGTTCCAGATTAAAGTTCAACTCTAAAGCTGCTGTTTAAAATTAAAGCTTCCAGTTTGGAAGTACATGCTTTTATTTTGTAGTAAAGGAGTTTTCTGTTCCTCAGACATCCTGTTGGAGCGTCAGGCCCACCTGCCCACCACGCACAAGTTCAGCCGAGAGCCACGTAAGAAGCGTCACACTCATAAACTGCGTCATGTGGACCCCCGAGCGTCACGCCTTCGTCACGGCGCACGACACGTGTGAGCCGCGCTGGCAAAACGAGTCCCGAAGGATCGTCCGACTCAGAAGATTTAAAATGAAACGCAGTTTCTTCAAGTTGGGGATTTATACGGAAGAGTTTTAGGGCCACGGTGATAAATGTTCTTTGCCCAGAATTCTGATTAAAAAGTCAGAATTCAGAATAAAATAAATAAACGAGAACTCGGGAAAATAAACAAATCATTTTTACACCGTGGCCCTGATCACCTCTAGATTTACCAGTTTCATTTAGGAGGGCTCCGGTTTGACAACTGGATTTTTATTCATCTTAAGTGATGTCGTCGAGAATCACAGGCATTATACGAAGGGATTTACCAGTGCTGCCGAAGCTGAGTTAAAGCCAAACGTTATCTCTGAAGACATGCTTGTTTGACTGAAGCTAGATTAGATATTTTAGTAGACGTGTCCTTAAACACTTGTTTTTATGCAAATGTCAATTTCAGCACGGATGAATATTTTCACGTCGTTTGTTCTTCGGCGTGCGCTCGTTCTAGCTCGTTCTAACTCGTTCTAACTCGTTCTAGCTCGTTCTAACTTGGTTTTTTTACGAGTCACATTTTTAAAAATTGGATCTTCAAGAAAAAATGTCCTCAACTCATTTTCATCCAGGAGGAGGAAAAATGAAAACTGGGTTTAAATCCATGAAGCGCCTCATCCTCTGTACCTTGAAGTTAGCACATGTACGGCAGGCTGTTTTACTATATAATCAAATCACACTCATAAATCTGTTTTACTGTTTGATCTCCTTGTCACAAAAATCTTATTGCTTTAAAGCTGCTTACATTCACGTCATCACAGCAGAAATTAATATTTTAAGTAATTCTAATTATACTATTAAAAATCTAAGTTTAAACCTCCACTCCTTACGGAGCTGACGCGTTTGACGTTCAGGGTGGAGATACGTCTTCCAGGCCCAAAAGAAACGGAACGGTTTGTCAGTCGCAGGTTTTATCGTAGAAATCTACAGAAGTCGTTTGGCAGGTTTCCCGTCGACCCTTCAAGCTGAGTTTGCACGATTTCCACACGGAGTCCCGTGTTGTTCATTTGACGTGTTCACTCTGAACTTGGACTGATGCTAAACTGTAATTTCTGATTACAGTAATCCCTCATTTACCACGGGGGATCCGTACCATGAAGCCCCGCGATAAGTGGAAAACACGAAGTAATAATCCAGGAGTCCAAGTTCAAGTGTAGTAAACTTTACTTTAAGGCTTTAGAAACACTTCCCACACTCTTGGAATGTTCTAAACTCTTAAACTCTACGTCATTTTAACAACATATGTTACTAAATTTTACTTCCTAGCTCTGCAGATCAGCAACAGCTCTGGTTCTGGTCCAACTCTGATTTATTCTGACTCGGTTAGTTTCTGCAGACAGTCCTGCAGCGATGACGCCCACAGTCAGTCCTCTGAACTCTGAAACCTACTCATTTTAACAACATGCAGTACTTTTATGTACAGGAGCTACAACAGTTTATTACCAGGCTCTGCAGTACAGCAGCGGCCAGGTTCTGGTCCGACCCAATAGATGAAAAAAGTCGCGGTACAGCATGACTGAAGCCCACCGCTCCATCCAGCTTGAAGTGCGCGTGCTGCTACCCAGGTTTTAATCCACCACCTCTAGCCCGGTCTGGACCAGCACCACGTGTCCAGAACCTGACTGAACCCTGCAGCTCCCAGGATCCGGGTCACACCGAGTCCGGATCAGCTGCAGTCCAGCTACTCAGCAGTGAAGATACAACTTGAAGGATGAGTTCATCTTCAGGATTATTGAGACCTTCCTGCCAGTTCTGAGAGCAACAGAACTTACAGAACTTATAGAACTTATAGAACTTACAGAACTTATAGAACTTATAGAACTTACAGAACTTACAGAACTACTTGCAGAACTTACAGAACTTGCAGAACTTATAGAACTTACAGAACTTGTAGAACTTGTAGAACTTACAGAACTTATAGAACTTGCAGAACTTACAGAACTTACAGAACTTGCAGAACTTGCAGAACTTGTAGAACTTATAGAACTTGCAGAACTTACAGAACTTACAGAACTTGCAGAACTTATAGAACTTACAGAACTTGCAGAACTTGTAGAACTTGCAGAACTTATAGAACTTGCAGAACTTACAGAACTTATAGAACTTGTAGAACTTATAGAACTTACAGAACTTACAGAACTTATAGAACTTGCAGAACTTGCAGAACTTATAGAACTTGCAGAACTTGCAGAACTTATATAACTTGCAGAACTTGCAGAACTTACAGAACTTGCAGAACTTGCAGAACTTGCAGAACTTGCAGAATTTATAGAACTTATAGAACTTGCAGAACTTATAGAACTTACAGAACTTGCAGAACTTGCAGAACTTACCGAACTTGCAGAACTTGCAGAACTTGCAGAACTTACAGAACTTGCAGAACTTGCAGAACTTATAGAACTTGCAGAACTTACAGAACTTGCAGAACTTGCAGAACTTGTAGAACTTGCAGAACTTACAGAACTTACAGAACTTATAGAACTTACAGAACTTATAGAACTTACTGAACTTATAGAACTTACAGAACTTACAGAACTTACAGAACTTATAGAACTTGCAGAACTTGCAGAACTTATAGAACTTGCAGAACTTGCAGAACTTATATAACTTGCAGAACTTGCAGAACTTGCAGAACTTGCAGAACTTGCAGAACTTATAGAACTTATAGAACTTGCAGAACTTATAGAACTTATAGAACTTGCAGAACTTGCAGAACTTGCAGAACTTGCAGAACTTATAGAACTTGCAGAACTTACAGAACTTGCAGAACTTGCAGAACTTGCAGAACTTGCAGAACTTGTAGAACTTGCAGAACTTATAGAACTTGCAGAACTTACAGAACTTACAGAACTTATAGAACTTACTGAACTTATAGAACTTGCAGAACTTATTGAACTTATAGGACTTACAGAACTTATAGAACTTGCAGAACTTATAGAACTTGCAGAACTTGCAGAACTTATAGAACTTATAGAACTTACTGAACTTATAGAACTTGCAGAACTTACAGAACTTATAGAACTTACTGAACTTATAGAACTTGCAGAACTTATTGAACTTATAGAACTTACAGAACTTATAGAACATATAGAACTTACAGAACTTGCAGAACTTGCAGAACTTATAGAACTTGCAGAACCTACAGAACTTATAGAACTTACTGAACTTATAGAACTTGCAAAACTTATTGAACTTATAGAACTTATAGAACTTGCAGAACTTGCAGAACTTACAGAAATTATAGAACTTACTGAACTTATAGAACTTGCAGAACTTACAGAACTTATAGAACTTACAGAACTTACAGAACTTGCAGAACTTGCAGAACTTGCAGAACTTATAGAACTTATAGAACTTGCAGAACTTGCAGAACTTGCAGAACTTATAGAACTTACAGAACTTACAGAACTTGCAGAACTTGCAGAACTTCTAGAACTTCTAGAACTTGCAGAACTTGCAGAACTTACAGAACTTGCAGAACTTATAGAACTTACAGAACTTGCAGAACTTG